GGAAAAGCCATCTGGAGGACTCTTGCTTAGCAATATACAACTGCCACACGATCTACATTTTGCTTCTTACTCATCTCTTATCAGTCTTAATAGCTGAAATGATGTAGGTCAGGTTGAAAAAGGGATAGGCGGAGACTCCAAATTCCCCTTGAGAATGAACTTCCCTCAAAATCCTTGCAACTTTCCTCCATCAAGCCCTCCGCAGAACTTTGAAGGGGTAGCATTATTCAGTGACTTGATGCTGAGCTGTCTGCTCTATGTGTCTGAACTCATTTAATCTTTATATTGACTCTAGGAGGCGTGACTGCTATTAATCCCATTTTACAGATGGTCAAACAACTTTCTCAGTATTGCACAGATCACACATTTGTTGGGTTATACCAACAAATAAACGTCAGAATCCATACCCTTAAGTCCTAAGGAATCCTGCCTCTAGGTACATAAAAAATAACATACACTCAGACATGTGTCTGAAATATTTGCTTATATAAATTCTGAAAAATTGAAGAGAGAGTAGTTTATAATACAACATAAAATGAACTAGTGCTGGATTGGGTGGTATTTATTTTCAGCAATTGGGGTTAAAGGTGAGGAGAGGCTGGGGAGCCTCCCAGGCCTGGCATATAAAATGTTCTTTGGATGAGGGAAAACAAAGTCTTACTCATAGAAAGAAGAAAGATCCCTTGCTAGTTCCCCATCCCCCTCAGGATCTGAACAGATAATCAGAGCGTGCAGACATTCAGCAGTAATCAATTAGTACCTACTTTAGATTAAATTGAGAATATGTAAATTGGGCACCTCATCAAGGCTGCACAGAGCCAGTGATTTGAGACGCAGGCACCCCAACGACGTGCTGCAAACATACCAGTCTCTGTGACACAGAAGGGCATGCAAATCTTGTCCCACAGCTGAAGATTTTCTTAGACTGCAAAATCTGCTATTCTACACACACACAGACACACACACACACACACACACACACACACACACACACACACACACACAGAGAGAGAGAAGAGAGAGAGAGAGAGAGAGAGAGAGAGAGAGAGAGAGAGAGTCCCCATTCATCCTTCTCCATCTTTCCGGAAGTACATTATTTCACAGCATCAGAAAGAGCTCTCTATGTCAGGTTCTTAGACAGTAGAACATCTTTCAGCTTGGGCCATAATTGTATGTCCCCTCAACAGTCTAGAAGTTAAGTGTTGTTTTGGTGTTTGGCTTTTGTTTTTATTTTTGAGAACCTGATAAACAAAAGCAGCAGCTAAGTATGACTAGGATTTCCCAGCCTCCTCTTCAAATTCCCTGACAGGGAAAGGAGAGGATACTAGTAGGTTTCAGAATGTATTTCTAATAGTAGACCTCATGTACAACCCAAGAGATACATCCTCTCCAATGCCACAGGTACGGGCCCTCAATAAACAACTCTGAAAAGGCAAAGACAGTCCAGGTAACAGACAATTGGCTGGGGCAGAGGCATTGGGAAGGCAGCTTGTAACCTACATGTGGCTTAGGAAGCCCCTCTCAGCATAGTGGAGCAATCGCAGGGAAGAATACCACCAGCAGGAAAGGTTATCACCACATCCTAGTAACTGGAAGGTCACTGTTGATGCCTAGAAGATTGCCACTTTTACTCTTTTTGGAATTCTCTGAAAGGGCATGTCGTGACTGAGAAAGATGTGTATTGCCAGCCAGAGAGTGTGGTGCTGAGCCAACAAAGGCAGAGTTAAGGATCCTTAAGAGTGAGCATGTGGTGAGAAGGCTAAAGAAAACCATTCAAGAAAATACATAATGATTCCACTGAGCCTAAGTGTTACGGCTTGACTATGAAACGTCCCCCACCCCAAGTGTTTGAACACTTGGTCCCCAGCTAATGGTGACGGTTTGGTAGGTTGTAGAACCTTTGGGATGAGAGGCATCCTTGGCAATGATGAGCCAGTGGGAGCAGGTCATTGAGCCTAGGCCAGCTTCCAGTCCTGTTCTCTGCTTTCTGGTTCACCACCAGGTAATTAGTTGCTGTGGTTACATGGCCCTGCCCCTATCAATGGAGCCACCCTAGGCACCATGCCTATCATGAGTGAATGAAACTGTGAACAAAAATCAACCTTTCTTCTTCCGGTTGTTCCTGACAGTTCTTAACCACAATGAGAAAAGTAGCGATCTCACAGTGGTTAGGCAGGGAGCATTCCTTAAGTAGGCTGTGCTTCTCGCCTAGGCAGAAAGATGAACTCACTAAACCATCTGAGCTTTTGCTACCAGCTATTTTGGAGTGTTGACGACATGCATGTTTTTTTTTAAACTTAAGGTGGATTGAAGAAAAAAAAATTAGCTGGGCAGCAGTGGCGGATGCCTTTAACCCCAGTACTTGGGAGGCAGAGGTAAAAGTGGATCTCTGTGAGTTCGAGGCCAGCCTGGTCTACAGAGTGAGTTCCAGGACAGGCTCCAAAGCTACACAGAGAAACCCTGTCTCAAAAAACAAAGCAAAGGATTGAAGAGAAAAAATGCTTTTAGAGGACTTCTGAGACATCTCTTTCTTCTATAATAAATAACCAGAACATAGCATTTGCTACTTCCTAGATGCTGAACGGCACTAGACATGAGTGTGTGGATACTTAAGAAGTGCAAATATGTTTTATAACTAAAGATAAGACAAGTATTCCTGAGGGAATTTGTATTTCAACTCAAAGACAGACATGAGTTCAAGAAATGATCAGGAAATGCCAAAAAAGTGAGAGTGCAGAGTGACGAAGTGGCAGAGAGATGGCTGGTAGAGGCTGCTTAGAGCAGGGCTCAAACAGTTATCTCTAACATTTGTGAAGAAGAATCTGAGTAAAGGCACTGGAGCAGGGATCGAGGATTGCCATGATGTGGGTGTACAGGAAAAGAATACTAATGAGACCATGCTGAGTGTGGCACATTAGGAGAATGCTGGCAACATGTTCCTCATTCTACAGCCACTTTCTTAAGATGTGGCATTGTGGATCTTCCCATTTAGAGGTGAGGTCTAGGGACTGGGAAGATAGCTCACTGGGTAAAGTGCTTGCTATGCAACAATGAGGATTCCACACAAAAAGACAGGTACAGTAATGCACACTTGTAATCCTGGCACTGGGATGCAGAGATGGGAGTGTCCCTGGGGCTTGCTGTCCAGCTGGTCTAGCTGAATCAGTGTTCTCCAGGTCCAATGTAAACCTTATTCAAAACAGAAGGCAAAGAGTGAAAGGGAAGACATTTGACATTAACCCCTAGCCTATACATGGGAATACACACATGTACTACATATCCATGTATGCACTCACAAGAGAAGAGGTCTATTTCCACAGCCCTTAAATGTGGGCTTTTAAAAGTATCCTGCTTCAGCCAATTGGTCACTAACAAGTGTATTACATATAGGGATTTGAAAAGTGCTTTTCTAACACTTGCAGATTGTGTCCTGGCTACACTTGGAACCTGGAGATCCTCATGTAAAATGAGCCTCAATTAACTTACTAAACAAACTACCCAGAAGAGAACCAAGGCATCCTAGGCAACAGCCTGTCAGCCACCAAGCATATGAGAAAGACCATTCTTAACCATCTAGACAACTTACCAGCTGACTACTGGTGATTGGTCAAACTCAGAGGAGACCAGCCAAGCTAGTTCAGACAAGAATCAATGCCCAGCCAGCCCACAGAGTAAAGAGTTAAATACACAAAATGTGCATTGCTTTTGATCATGAAAAGTTGGGATGGCTTGCTATGTAACTAGAGCTGGCAGATACACTGGGAGATAGTTCAGTTTATATATGGAATTCATTTATCTGAATAAGACTAAAACACATAGGATGGTTAAGGAAAATGGGGGGACTTAAACATTAGTAAGAACACAAGACAGTCAGCAATCCTCAAACATTGGCTGAGCAATGTAGAAATAAAATGGGGGAGAAAAATGCTAAATTAGACAGATGGAGCTTAGCATGGATAAACCCAATTTGGAGGTGCTAAAAGTTCACTAAAGGAAAATCTAAAATCTTAGGTGCATTTTCAGAGCTAAGAGTAGTAAGATATGAAGAATGAGGAAGTATAGAGTAGGGGAACATAACCAGAAATACCTCATGATTGATATTTTCAGAAAAGATATCATGAGCAAAGTTGGGAAGCACAGGCAAATACAATGATTCATTCAGAAATTTCAAGGCAGCAGAAACAATCGTTTGATCAGGATATCCCACAGAATGCCTATAACCCTAGGTCTAGAAAGGAGAGGAGGCAAGGCAAGATGGAGCAGCAGTAAGCTTGCAGACCTCAGCAGCAAGACTTTATGGTCTTTTGCCTATGCTTCTCTTCCAAGATGTTCTTGTTCTCCACTTAGTACCTTTTTCTTGGATTATTGCTGACTGCCTGGATGAGCTCCCAGATCATTTGCAGATGGACCTGATTCAATCAGGATGAAGGGGGATGACAATTATCAGCCTATAGGAAGAGCTGCCTATAGCTATAGAGAGAAGACGAAGGGAAGGGAAAGAATTTCAAGCAATTTAATACTTTTCGTCTATTTTAGAGAAAGATAATGAACTAGGGGGTGGAAGTAAAAGTAGGGACTTGCATAGTGTATGTTCTGCTGAGAGCTGGAAATACAGAAATAATGGCTAGGTTTAAAGTTTTAGACATCTACCTATAAGTACCTGTAGATATAATCAAATAATAAGTAACTGACTTCAAAGAGAAGACTATAAGACAGAGGTCCATAGCTGTGGGCATTGTTTATAGATGGCATAGAAGCCAGGGAGCTGCTGAAGGAGAAAATGATGTGAGGACAAGTTTCACAGAAGAGAACCATGGGAACCAAAGCAAGGGACCTAGCCAACTATGTCTGATGAAATGGGGTCAAGGGATCAAAGACCATGAACAGCTCCATCTCTGTTCAGATGACCATTGGGCACGTTTAGGAACAGAAGATAGGGAATCTTGGTTTAATCCTTTCACCCAAAGAAGGTAAGGAGTGAAGCCCTTGCTTGAATTTACCGGAAATTCATAACATTTGGTTTGGCAGCATTCAAAAATCCAAGGGCATCCTCAAATGTCTGTGATTCAAACTCCAGAATGTCTTCTTCTGAGCCAGGCAGTCTTTAATCCAAAGAGTACACACAAAAACTTGAGCTTTCATGGATCACTCAAGAAGGTGTCACCCTACACTTCTGGAAGCACCATGAAAGACTCGCTGAGACATGCCTGATTTGGAGGTCTTGAGTTTCTGTAAAACATTTAGTCAAGTGGTGTGGTAACAGTGCAGACAGTGGACAAGCCCTTATTGCTCACAGGGATGCCTCTGGGGCTTCTTTCATTGCAGTTAATTTCCAGGACATGGCGCCACTAAATATTAGCATGTCCCCTCGTGTTAATGGCAAATGGCAAGAGGCTCTCATAATTTAGATATTTTTATGGCTGTTCTGTGGAAGCTAATTTTGTCTAACAAAACCCCATTAAGTTTTAGCTCTATCCTTTTCCCTTCCTCCAACTCCCAGAACTGGGACTTATATGTTAATTGCAGCCAGTCTATGCTAATTAGGTTCCATTTTCTATTTCTTAAAGAGACAGATGCTACCAGGTCCTGCCCCAATCATCACTCCATCCCACCTCCATAGCCAGCTTTTCAGAGGTTAAATTCCACAGTTGATAAAGAATTCACTTACGGCACACATTTGAAGTTGGAAGGCAGAGAGATCAGGTGTTTCCATATTCCTCACTACTTCCTCCCATGAAGCAATGCCTCCTTCCCATGAAATTCTAAGTGTAGCATTTCTAATTGAGAAACAAATCAAAACACTATTAGATTCCTTAACTACACACAACATTCAACAAAATACCCCTAAGGCCTACTATAACCATTACTTTGAACAAAAGACCCTCAATCCCAGAGCTTTCATTTATGTTGTGATAAGTTTGGGCTTGTCACTATATGCTGAGTAGAGAGTCACAAGACAGGAACCCCAAAAGAGGAACTTCCTATATCAGTGCTTATTTTTATTGGTTGAGTGATTGCATGCTAGGACCCCAGTAGACATTGGGGAGAATAAAAACACACATGGGTAAAACAAAGGCCTTACCCATAAAATGTCTCCAGGTTAGTCCTAGCAAAGACATATTCATACTATTTAAAAGAAGTTGCCTACTAGCTCTACCGTGAATTCAGTTAGTACAGTATTACATTTGAATCATCACAATGAGATGAGGTATATGTTGATTTGATTTGCTCATGATAAAGAAGGGAAAACTGAGACTTAGATGAGGCATCAAATTATAGTCCCTGGGACAGGGCAATATCAATGGACAGGCAAGTGTTCCACACCAAACAAGGGGGAGAACACACAAAACAACATAAACAAGGCTGTGGATATGGGAATCTAGAAGAGAGAAGACATGAAAAACCGAGCACAGTCATTTACTCTATAGGCATAGGTCAGAACTGGTAGAAATAGGATATAAACTCAAAGCGGTCAGGCTCTAAAGCCAGTCTTCAAGCTGCTGTGCTAGATATGAACATCTAACAGTGCTAAAGTAGTGAAGGCAAATGAGTAGTAGGGAGACACTCTGACTGGGGTCCTGGCCCAGGCTTCAAAAGAAGGTAGCTGGGTATGGTGTTTTGATAGGCAGAAAGGATAATTAAAACATTGCCACTGAAGAAAATAAACAAGAACATGGATGAAGGACAAGATACAATCTCAAGACAAATATGTTAGGACTCCGGGGATGACAGGGGTGGTGAGAGGTGAGTCTAGAAAGGTGGTATGGGACAGGCCTGAGGTTCTGATTGTATATGCCACATGAATAGATCTGGAATCTTCTATGGGCCAGAGCATCTCAAATACTCCAGTCTCCAGAATTCCCCTGGGAATAGGGTCAAAATCCAGATTCTGATTCAGCAAGTCTTGGGCAGGGGCTGAAATTCTGCATTTCTAACTAGCTCTTGAGTAATGTAGATGCTATTTTGAATTGCATGGAGGAGCAATGCTCTGAACAGCCTGCTAGCCACACAAGGTAAGGGACTGTGCTTTCAGTCTCTTTGTTCCCACCCCAAGTGTAGCGTGTGTGTGCAGAGCAAGCCCACTCTCCATGCTGGCTGCTGCTGCTTCTGTTGATGATTTCTCTTGCCTGTGATCAGCTTCCTTGCCCTCCCCCAAGGCTCCCCCCCTGCTCAGCTGTAACAGCCCAACGTTTTCCAACACTTCATTGAGTAGACTACCCACAGACCTCTGCTCTAAGCTTCTTTTCTATTTAGAAAGGGGAAAAAACCCTAAATTGCTGGGGGGAAAGCCCTTCCATTACTGGAGGACTATACAGATTCATTAGAGCTTCAGGGAAGTCATCAGAAGTTGATTGTGCTTGAAGGGGTTGCTCGGCCCCTCCCATTTCCTAATTTGATTTCACGGCTCTGCAGTGAAGTCAGAATTAGAGGCACATTAAAGATGGGCAAAGGGGAAAATAAATCCCACGACCAATCGAATACTAAAATTCTCAAGGTGCCTTTTCTCAGTGTCTCCAGGAAAGTATCCATTTCACCAGAGCAACGGTATCCTCCAGGAGGACCACAGGCTAAGAACTCATGAGTGCTAGTGTATTACTCAGAATGGAAGATGGACCACTGAGAATTCTCAGACTCGTTGGTGAAGGGAGAAAAGAAATTCTGGATGCCCTCATTTGTTGAGAGCCCATTTTGGGGAGTGCTCAGTGAGCTGTACTAAGATTCATGCTTCATGATATGCTGCGCCGTCTGTCTGTCCTTGAGCCTGTGCCTGTGAGTTTACTGCCATGGACTTAATTGAAGGCTCTAAGGTCAAACAATGGTCAGGTGCCTGTAGCAGACACTGGTGCTACCCTGCTTCCATCCCTTTATACTCACCCCTGTGCCCTGCAGTTGTGGCTGCTGAACACATACTCAGTCCCGCCCGAGGACTTTATTGTGGTCCTCAAGCATGTCCGGGCCTCAAACCAGACGAACTGCCGGTAATTATCACTATCCCGGGAAATAGCCCTCCACCAATGAGATTGGCTTCTTCGCTCAAGGCTGGGACATACTCTACTGCTCTGAGGAGGTCTTCAGTAACAGGACAGAGCTCTTCTTGCCCTCAGTGGTCTTTTACTTGGTAACACACATCACGTAGATGTTCTTTTGTTTCCTCGTCCTACTTTCCCACCTCATCATCAGCACTCCTGGACTTGACTTTCAACTCAATTATTTGCCCTCAAGTACTTATTGGAGGGTGTACTTTCCCAAAAATCCAAATTAAGAAATGGTGCCTCGAAACATTCTCCATTAAAATGCCACCATTTCAGGCTGCCAAGTGTTCGGGGCTTCAGGAATAGATGGAGCTTTCTGCCTGAACGTTTTCTGAATAAAGTGGGAGAGATGCTCAGCATAATTCTCTGGATGTTGATGGGAGGGAGCATGTTTGGGGAATTTGGAAAGGGCACGGGACAACTGTCTGGTGGCCAAAAGCAAAGGTAAAGGTGCCAGCTCAGCTGCCATGGTGGCTCTGCAGGGAACTATCCTACTGTTGGCTTTTCATTGCAAATAGGGAGAGTTTCACAGGTTTCCTAAGCCATGGGGTTTGAACCTTGCCTTGCCTCTTCCTGGGTATGTAGCCTAAAGGCAAGTCATTTTGTTTTCCTAAGCTTTGATGTCCTTAGGGGTAGCTGGAGATCAGAGTAGCACTCATAGGATCAAGCTGCCAGCTAGGGGTAGAACTTCTTCAAGCCTGGGATTAGACATCAGCTTTGTCCTTGCTTTGCTGACTGATCATGTGTCAGTTAGCTAACAATGCTAAGTTGGCCTCATTTCTAAATGGACAACTACATGTGTTCAAAGCACATGAAATCACCTATGTTTGGCCTACTGATCTACAGAAATGGCAATTTCATGTGCCAAACTTAAGATCTTGCAGAGTTTCTGTGAGGACTTTACAGTCATGGATGAGAAGCACTTAGTGTTTGAACTAGGACCTAGTAGGCATGCCACTTACCATTACAGACAGCTGCTGTGAATATTATTAATTCACATTTTGTGCTTGCTGGTTACACCAGAAGACAGCAACCTCCCCGATCAGATTTCAACAAACAGCAATTCCACCTCCCCAAGGATCCTGTTTGTCTGCCCACAGACCAAGACCAAAAGAAAGTAACAAGCACTGGGCAACCAGATGCTGGGCGAGCACACCAGGCGCTGCCTAGTTCTGAGCTCCCTGAATGACACAATTTTTTGTTTGTTTTTCTAAATGTCACATTGAAGCCATTGTGAATGAAAGAATGAGAGATGATTTCAGCTTCCATCTTTTGTGATGCTCAGCTTTAAAAAAATAAAGGAGGTCCCAGCAAAATTAACTTTATCATTTTAAGAAACAGCCATGGCAAATACATTCATTATTCTCCAAGGCCGAGTGCTGTGCACCGGTGCGCGCAGCATCTGTCTGCTCTCTAACTCTGCTGTTATTATTACCCACTGAAAGGGCAGGCGGGAGAGGATCCCAGGCAATCTCCCTCAGCAGAGCTTTGCAGGTTTTCTGGAGCACTCCAAACTCCCCCAAATGTGCTCCCGGAGACTTTGGTTTGCTAATCTTGTTGACATGACAGGAAAATAAATCGAAAATAGCTAATGACCTTAATTTTCTTCAACCTGACAGCTAACCAATTCATACCACCCCAAACAGTTACACATCTAATTCCCCCCTTTTTCTCACACCCTGGTCTCTATCTCTTTCTGTCTCTGTCTCTTTCATATACACAAGCACGTGTGTATACATTCATTGCTCTTTTCCAGACCTGTCAATAACAGCTCTCTCTGTCTCTGTCTCACTCTTGCCCGCAACCCGGTATGTGTGTGTGTGTGTGTGTGTGTGTGTGTGTGTGTGTGTGATTGGTGTGACTGAGCTTTAGTTTATTTCTCAGCCTCTCAGCAAGGTCACAAACTGCAATTTCAAATGTTCTTTTCAGAGGGCAAGCAGGGACCTACAAGCAGAATGACTTCATTAAAGTCCTATGACAACTAGGTACAATCAAGACAACATGTGGTGCCGATCAGTTAAGGTGACCATCGGAAATAAGGTGGAGACACAGGCAGCAGATCTGGAATGTGACCACTAGGTCTTGTGGTCTGTTGGTCCTGGCGGAGGGAGAGAGCTGTGTTTGTGCTGGTTTCTTGAAGAGCAGGAAGACCAGCGAGGGCAGGTGGCAAGGCACCGGGTAATGCAGGATCTAGGCTCTGAGGAGAAGCTGGGCCTGAATCTAGTAAAGGGGTGTGGAGAATGTGTTGTTGCCCTTTCCTTGCCCTCCACATTTGCTGGTGCTCTTTGAACCCAAAGCCAGTGCTGTATCTATGGACCGAAAAGGTATGAGAGCACTGGCTGGGGCTGCATCAAATGAACAACCCGGTATGTGTGTGTGTGTGTGTGTGTGTGTGTGTGTGTGTTAGGGCAGGATGGCCCTGCTTTCTAAAGGGGTGGATTAATGGCTAAATGGATGTTCTAGTCTTTAAAGGGCCAGCTGTTCCAAAGTTTGTATTACAAGATTTATCTCTCAGAATGTTTTTCTAAATCATCTCTCTCCCTAAGCTGTAGGTTTCATCTTATAGAAGAAGAAGAAGAAGAAGAAGAAGAAGAAGAAGAAGAAGAAGAAGAAGAAGAAGAAGAAGAAGAAGAAGAAGAAGAGTAGAAGGGAGGGAAAGTATCCTATATGTAACTTGGACCCAGAGGCCTAGATAGAGGCCTTTCTCCAGAGTGGTATATTTTTTCTTCTTAATTTCTTTTGTCACAGATTACATGGACAACATATATTTGAAAAAAAGTGGGGGCATATTTACACACCTTTGGAAAATTGATATTCTCTTCTCATTTATATTTGCATGACCCCACCCCTCCTCTGCTTCCAGGATTGGGGCAGTATTCAGTTTTAGTGTTTTTAGCTATTGACATTTCTACCTCAGCCCTCACCCTGAGCCTTTTACCCAGTCCTATCCTCTGCTGCCTATTTCCTCTGTCCCCTGCTTCTTCTTCATTTATTTAGTTATTTATTTTGTATTTGTTTGTTTGCTTGCTTATTTATTTAGTTATTTATTAGATACAGTCTCTGTGTAGCTCAGGCATGCCTTGAACTCCTCTGACTTTCCTGACTCAGCCTTACAGATGACCAAATTACACGTTTGTTTTGCCACCATACTTGGTTCAGAACCTTCTACTTCTGTCTCTCCACAGGCCATTTGTTTCTTCATCTGGAATGATTTGGCTTCCTTGGAGTGGTAGAAGAAAGTAGTCCCCACTTACCCTGTCTCTGCCAAGCTCCAAAGCTCCAGGGCTCCTCCAAGGTGATAGCATGGGTATGTTCAGGGCTCTGCTCTGCTGGTCTACAGCTTTCCTCCTGCTCATCTGCCTATCTTCTAGCACAGTGGTCCTTACCCTCCCTAATGCTGTGACACTTTAATAAGTTCCTCATGTTGTAATGACCCCCGACCATAAAATTATTTCATTGCTACTTCATAACTGTAATTTTGCTTGTTACGAATCATACTGTAAATATTTGTGTTTTCTGGTGGCCTTAAGTGACCCCTGTGAAAGGTCATTTGACCCCTCAAAGGAGTCATGACCATATGTTGAGAACCACTGCTCTAGGATCATCATCCTGTCCTTGCTTTATTTCTTGACTCAAGCTTAGGAGTTGGGTGTCCAGAGACCTGCCATAATAAATGACAAGTGACTGAGGGGCAGCAGCAAACAACTGGGACAAATGAAACTCGGGCTAAATGGCACCTTCTCTTAGGCCTCTCTTTCAGGTCCCAGAAAGGCTAAAGTTTCAGGTCACAAAGTCCAAACTCCCCACTTCACAAATCATAACTTCTAGCCTGAGGGAGACAGTGAGCCCTGCCAAGGTGTTCTTGGACAGGCATTACTCATTGGAACAATTCTGATCACCCACCTCCAAGACCCTTGCATTTCCAAACTGCACAGATTGCTTCAAGAGTCCTGGCCAAATGAATGTTGCAGGAGGTTCAAAGGCAGTCTCATGGTACTTGGAATTCTGCGTTATCAAAGTTGACTGCTGGAGCATCACCTGAGAGAGCAGAAGTCTGGCTATAATCCTGCAGCAGAGATCGGAAGCAATGAAGCCATGCATCCCATGGCAGAGATCCCAAATGTGAATAGATTACAGCCTGGGCCAAACACAGGGCTTGGGTGACATTTGTTCTCCCAGGAGAAACTGTTATTTCCTAAGGCTTGTCTTATTTCTCTTATTCAAAACCCATGCTCAAATGTCTCTTAATGCCACAGACATTTTGGAAGGATGCTTGGTTTTGAGAAACATTTGCTAAGGGACTTTTGGATTGTGAGATGCTTAACATAGATGGTGAGTGAGAAGACAGTACAAAGTCAAGTTGGGATTAAAGAACTGGGTTGAGTCCTAGCATTGTTATCTCTCTCTCTCTCTCTCTCTCTCCCTCTCTCTCTCTGTGTGTGTGTGTGTGTGTGTGTGTGTGTGGCTGTGTGTCTGTGTCTTTAAGCAAGTTGCCTCTCATTTAATGCCTCAGGTTCTGCATCTATAAAATGGAAGCCACCAGGGCAACTACCTCATAAGGCTGAGTTGACGAATAAGTGAAACAAATTCAGGTGGAGGATTTGGCACAAAATAAAGGTTCAGATTTGTTAACTTGATACTTGAAATGACATTCTTTTTTCTTTTCTGTGTATGTGATGTGTGTGTTGAGTACACTTGCATGTGTATGTGTGTGCATGCACCGCTGTATAAGGCTGTATAAGCAGGCTGTGTTTTTCACATGCATGCATGTGGAGACCAGAAGCTGATGGTCAGGTGTCTTCCTCAATAGTTCTTTACCTTATGTTTTGAGACAAGGTCTCTCCCTCAACCTGACACACACAGACTCAGTTAAGTTTTCTGTCCAGCAGGCCACAGGGCTCCTCCTGACTCTGCCTGCTCAGGGCTGGGATTACAGGGGTTTGCTGTTTTCCCTGTGGGCTCTGGGGATGGGAAATCAGAACCTACTGCTCGTGAGCAAGCACATCACCTACTGAACCATTTTTTTTTTCAGTTTCTGCAATGACAATTTTCAACCAACTATCAGTCTTTACTCCATTTGGGAAAGGAACAAGGTCAGACTGGCGGGAAACTTATCATGTTGAGAAACAACTGACTTAGCATGAATATCTGCTGAGCAAATGGTTTATTTCAGCACTTTATCATATTGAACATCTACTAGTTTCCAGTCTCCTTTTGACTTTGATTATTGAAAAAAAAACACAACATGATAGACAAAATGCTAGTTCCTTAAGCATGGTCTATTTGGGGGAAGGAAAGGAACTAGAATGGAAATATTACTTTGTCCATTCACTGTTCATTTCCTGGTTTCTGTTTGAGGTATCTTATTCTTTCTTTCTTTCTTTCTTTCTTTCTTTCTTTCTTTCTTTCTTTCTTTCTTCCTTCCTTCCTTCCTTCCTTCCTTTCTTCCTTTATTTTTTTTTTGAGACAGGGTTTCTCTGTGCAACTTTGGAGCCTATCCTGGATCTCACTCTATATACAAGGCTGGACTCAACTCACAGAGATCTGCCTACTTCTGCCTCCTGAGTGCTGGGACTAAAGGCATGCGCCACCACTGCCTGGCTGGAGTACCATTCTTGCTCACTCTAAGTCCTCCAGTTTGGATGATCCAATGCAGTGTTGGGCTGGAGTTCATGTCTACTAACTCCGATTGTGCCACTTCTTCCCTACTTCAGTTTCAATGGCACTGTGCTGCCACTACCCTGAAATCAGTCAAGGTAGAAAGATATGCAGCACTAAACATGTCAAACACTGAAAATGAGCATCTACTTTCCTCCAGCCTCAACTGGGTTGTGAAGGTGGCACAACCATGAGCTTCTAGCCCCTTCTCTAGACGTGTGACTGGAGAATGACCCATCAGCATAGTATAATTTCCTGGTGTGTTGGTTTGTTTACTTCTTGCTATAATCGAACACCTGATAGAATCGACTTCATAGAAGAAGAGATTATTTGGGTTCATGGGTCAGAGGGTAAGTCTGTCTCATGATGGGGCAGACAAGAGGCTTCATCGTGGTGGGAGTATGTGGCTGAGGGTCTTCATATCCTGGTGGACCAGGAAGCATGTGCAGGCTATAACCCTCACAAGCTCATCCCTAGTGGCCTACATATGACACCTAGTCAGCCAGTCTTCATGTCCAAAATGTTCAAAGACTGCTGGAAACAGCATCACTAGCTGGGAGGGGGAATTTCATTTCAAAACCTAACACTTGGCTTTGATGACTGTTTTACAAATGAATATGTATTTACAGCCAACCATATTTTCTGCAAGAAGCATTTGTAAAGAAAATTCCTACTCACTTGGATTGTATGAAAGTAGCTTCTAGTGTCCAGCTGATATTACATGCATACATATATACATATAATTCACCCGAGGAAAGGAAAAAAAAATAAGATACCAACTGCTAATACCAAAGTCAGACAGACCCTTGGCTTTAAAAGGAAAGTAACCCAATACATTTTCTCTTCCTATTTCTTGACAAGACAGTGTGAGTTGGGGTTCTCTTTCCTGAAAATGAGAGTCCCCACTAACACAGATGTATCAAACGCTATCTAGTGTCCAGGTTTTATTGGTTTGTAGTAATGGCTGCAAATTCTTCCTACCCCACAGTGACGATACCACACACAGCTCTGCAGTGTGAGTTTTACATCTCCATTCTTCAAGAAGTAGAGCCTGTTTTCCTCTCCCTTGAGTCTGATCTGACCTTATCATTTGATGTTCTCAATAAGATGTAGAAGTAATGTTATACAACTTCGGTGTCTAGATCTCCAGTTTCCAAGAGGCTTCCACTCCTCGCAGAAACCAAGACCACAGTCCCCCTGAGCCATTATCAGTGCAGCAAGGGCCATATGGAAAAAGATCTCATGGCTCTTCTAGGCATTTTTCCTGTTCCCCACCCCTGCCCCAAGACATTCCTGCAAGTTGAATGGTTACACGAAGAAATATACATAAGATTAAGAGAAAATAAATCTACAGCTAGTCATTAGAATCTGGAGCAAAGAGGAGCTGTTTAGTGAAATCAGTCAGCATTGGATTGGTTACTACACAGAAAAAAAAGTGTGTGTTTCTCTTTATCAACCAAACTTTCTACTTTAATGACGGGATCAGAATCTTGCATAGGGGAAGAGAGTTGGGGTTTTGAAGCTAAAGTGTTGGGTTTGGCTCCTGGTTCCTCTGCTTAATACCTTTGGGGAATTTATTTAATGTTTTTATGCCTCCATTTCTACCTTTACTAAGGTTTGGACATAGTCTGCACTGCTCTTCAAGGTTTTACTTATTGAAGTTCAATTCCCAAAGTTACAAGTTAATGCTCTTAAAAGGGCAGAAGGTTCATTTACAATGCTGGTCATAGATGGGGCTTCAGGAATTGGTTCTTTTTAGATGAGGTCATTAGGATGATTGAATACGGATGACTTTGTAGAGGAGAGCACACATGTGCGAACACATGAATGCTCCCCATATCTTACCATTTAATGTGTTGGGCCTCCTTGGCACTGTTTCAGAAAGAAGGATATCACTTCCTGATTAATAAGATAAAATAAACATTTCTCAAAAGAGTAAACTATCCTGCCTGAGGGATTTCTTTGTAGTGATGAAACACAGACTCACGTACTCTATTCTGGAGTGAACTCTAACTCCTGCTCAATTCTTATGTTAAAGTCCTACCTAACCCCCAATCTGATAATATTTGGAGTACGGCCTTTGGGAAGTTTTTAGGTTTAAACAAGATTGTGAGATTGAGAAAGTCATGATAGGGTTGGTATCCTTTTTCCACTCTCCCCTTCCCTCTCAACCTTACCCTTTCCTATGAGGCCACTTGGAGAAGACAGCTATTTGCTAACCTGGAATGTCAGTCACTGTGATGGCATTCTAATTGGAGGCAAATCAGTAGTAAGAAATTAATTCTGTTAAGACGTTTAGCTTCTGATGTTTTATTATTATAGGCTGAGCAAATGAATGCAGATTATTTTAACAGAAGTAGGCTGCTTCTGTAATAGATACCTGAACATGTGGAAGCAGCTTCAAAACATAGCAATCGGTAGAGGACAGAATGTTCTTGCTAGGAAAGTGGATGGTAAGGGTGATCTGGTGAGGTCTCAGGTGGAAGCAGACAGCCTATGATTGGAGGTTGGAGGAAAGGCAGTCCTTGCTACTGAGTATTAAATAACTGAGTTTCCCTTAGCCGCATGTGAAAAGTAGAAATTACAAGGAAGGAAATGGAATGTTTAACTGAAGAGACCTCCTACCAAAGTGTTGAAAGAGCAGCTTGGTCCTTCCTGGCTACTTGTAGTGCTTTCTTCTATTGCTTATTGAGCAGGATACATTCTCAGAAATGTGTGATTAGGTAATACTGCTGTCATTTTTTTAAAAAAAAAAATCATAAATGGTACTTCCACAAACCTAAATGGTAAAGGCCTAGTATCCAGCATGGCTGCTTGATGCAGTCAAGAGTCATAGTTGATATAAGATATGAGGTTACTATTGGCATTAACATGTCATAGTGTTTCACAGTGAATTATGATTAGGAGGCATAGAAGCAGCAAAGGTATAATCTAGAGGAACCATTAAGAACATAGCATAATAAATGTACACAAGTAATACGTTTATTATAACTATCATTTCTTGTGTATTGTGCATAACTGTATCTGGTATTCTTTTATATGACTGGGAACTTATTAGGTTTGCTTCCACCAGAATTACCACAAATGCATCAGTGACTCACTGTACCACAGTGTCACTAGCAAACAAGACATTTTTTCAGCTCTATTGTAATCTTAAGTGATCTGTCATCAACTGAAGCATCACTAGTGATGACTGTAAAGCATGGAGGCTGAGAAATGAACTGAAGAAATAGTTGTTAAGAGCAACCAGCACTTGAAGACCTAGAAATTTTTAAGCCCATTCATTTTGCAAATAAATAAATAAAGAACGAAAAAAAGAAAGAAAGAAAGAAAGAAAGAAAGAAAGAAAGAAAGAAAGAAAGGGAAGAACTTGTGAAGAGAGCCTGGAGGGTGTGGCTAAACAAAGGCTTGATAAAGGGATTGTGGGTTCAACTTGTGAAGTTAATCACCCATCTCCAAGGAAGCCAAGGGCATGCATGGGATTGTTCTAGCATTTACACTGCCAATGTAAACAGGGCCAGAGAACAAAAATGAAGGAAGGCTATCGGGCTCATTGCATTTTATAGGATAGGACCCCACAACTATTTGGCTGTAAATGTGTCTTTAAGACAGGGGAAAGAATGATCCTGAAGGTGACTCAGGGATCATCAAAGCTGCTGTTCCTGATAAAGGTCCAGAGTGCTCAGGCCAGGCAGGAAATCTGCCTCTGCCTCAGCTTCAAACGGTAAGACCACTCACTGCCTAGCAGAGCTGTGCAGTCAAGCCTGCACAGAGAATTGTGTGGGCTGCAGCATCTCACTTAGCTCTGAGGTCACAACTGCCACTTTATTGGACTTGGAGATCCAGCAATGAATGAGAGGGTTATTCTTGATCCCTAAATTCTAATGGAATTTGCCTTGCTAATGTATGGACTTGCTGGGAACCTGTCACTCCTTCCTTGTCCAACCCCATAACCTCTCTGCCTTTAAAGAGTAACCTGAGAACATGGAACTGTAAGAAATAAATGGCTGTAGTTTAAGCCACCCACAATATTTTGTTGCGGCAGCCTGACAGACTACTACACCATCTGTCAAATGGGAATAATAATGTACCTACCCCATAGGCTTGACACAAGGATAGACAATTAGCAACTTCTTACATGCTCAGTACCTAGCACACACTCAATGGTTAACAATATTGACACCTATGATATGTAAAATAAATATGAATTGGTGAACAATGATTTTATCTGTGGGAATTGTCCCAGGCTGAATCCAACTTATGGTTATGACAGGATCCAAACTTGTTTTATCCTATTTATGAGGAATGGAGAGAGGGACAGACAGCAATCTATTTTCATTTGAGATCAAAGAAAGCCCTGTAAAGAACTTACTAAAAGTTTGCATTACTGGGTGTTTACGATGTACTGGACATAGTAGCAGGGGTATTATATGGGCTATCCCATTTCAGCTTCATAAGGATGCAATGAAGTGATTATTATCAATATTTTCATTTTACATGTGAGAGAACCAAGACACAGAGAGTTAGATGACTGACTAACCTGCTAGTGACGGTGGAGCCAGAGATTTCAGCCACAGTTGATTGAATCTTCATTTTTAACCTCTCATCACATTATCTTGGTTCTAGAACAATCAAACAGAGCTGGTGAATGTTGGGGAATATTATTTTAAGGTGTGCGACTTTTGTGTATGCTGCATTTTTCTAACTCTGTGAAGTTGTGTTACTGTGCCTGTCTAAAACACCTGGTGGTCCTACTAAAGAGCTGAATGGTCAATAGCAAGGCAGGAGCAAGGATAGGTGGGACTGGCAGACAATAAGTATAAATAGATGGAGAAAAAGAGGAAAACAAGAAGCAGGAGGGGAACAAAGAGAGGAGGATGTCAGGGGCCAGCCACTCAGCCATCCAACTACACAGCAATACACAGAGCAAGAGTAAGAGTTACAGAAGTAAGAGCACAGGAAAGGCCCAGAGGCAAAAGGTAGATGGGATAATTTAAGTTAAGGAAAGCTGGCAAGAAACAAACCAAGCTAAGGACAGACACTCATTACTAAGAATAGGCTTTTGTGTGTGTGATTCATTGGGGAGCTGGGTGGTGGGCCCTCTCAAAAGAGCAAAAGGACTCAAAACATCATACAACAGGTGAACACCACTAGCATTCAGTAAGATGACCGTGCATCTAAGTTGGGGCAGATGGAAAGGAAGATGTATTATAAAGGAGCAAAGGAATTATCTACCATTGGTAGAACACTGGAGATTACAAAGAAAAACTGGCAGCGCCAGTACCATCCTCTTGATAAACCACAAGAGGTGCTTCCCACGCTCCAACACCAGCTGTCCAGTGTGGGATTCATCACCAGATCAGACATTAGTTATTAACTGCAGCAGCCAGAGCATCTCTAGCAGAGTTGGGCTGTAGTGGCGGTGCCTTTGGCAGGCATTGGGGATGAAAAGGTCATTTGGCTTAGGCAGGGATGAGAAACTCTATCATAGCAGCTGCATTGGAGGGATAGTGTTGACTCCACAGGCTGCTAAGAGTAAGAGCCTGCTGAACACTGTGGGAAGGCTCAGAACCATTTGGGAGGCACTGGAGGGGTTCCTGTTCCCTGCAGAGCAAGTAGGAGTAGAGCCAGAGACACACTTTTCATGGCCATGGCTGTGATGCTATTCTTACTCAGAAGATGCAGTATGCAGAGTGCATCAAAAACTACAGAAAAGTCTTGATTGACAGAAACATTTCCCCCTTCCATGACTCTTGAAATGTCTATCATGCACTCCACTCTTCTGGGCTAAGATAATAATACCTTTGGAAAGCTTCTGGTTGCAGGCAAATAAAATAGCCTGACCCACTATTATCATAGCTTTTGCTATTAACAACAGTGACCAACCTCTACACAGTGTTCATCATTACCTGGATCTTTCCCATTTACAATACTTCCAGCAGCAGGACATGGCTGTAGTTCAGTGGCAGAATACTTTGTAGAGTATGCATAAACCCTGAGTTCCATCCCTAGCACCATAAAAGAAATACAGTAAAACTCTCCCAGCAGCTCCTCATAACTGTATCAGCAGCCTATCATACCAAATATGTAGACCCAGATTGATATAGACCAAAAAAAAAATCTGCTCAAGATCCCACCAAAGTAAGAAGGAGGAATTTTATTCACCTCTGTGATGGCTAATTTTGGTTGTCAACTTGATACACCTGGAGGATCAACTGGAGGATTGCCTGCATCAGATTGTCCTGTGGACATGTCCGTGGGGCATTTTGTTGATCACTAATTGATGTAGGAAGTTCCAGCCCACTGTCATGCCTAGGTAGGTGAGCCTGGACCATATAGGAGAGGTAGTGAACATAAACCTGGAAGCAAGCCAGTAAGCAGCATTCCTCTATGACCCCTGCTTCAGTTCCCACTTCCAGGTGCATGACTTGAGTTCCTGCTTCAGCTTCCATTGATGATGGGCTGTATCTTATAAGCTAAAATAAACCCTTTCCTCCCCAAATTTCTTTCAGTCATGTTTAGCATAGCAGTGGAAAACAAACTGGAAGATTCTCCTCTTTCTCTTATTTTTTCCTCCCTCTCCTATTCCTAACTCCTCCAGCACGTGCTTGTGAGTACCTCAGCACATACAGGTCTGTGATTCATCGAGAGAAGTCCACAGCAAAGCTAAGGTGGTCACAGGGCTGTTGCACTTTTCCCACTGACAGGTAGATCTAATCCCCTCCTTTTGAATCCAGGTTGCCCATGGTCACTCACTTCAAAATAAGAAAGTATAGTGGGTGGCACCCTGTGACATCTAAGGCTAGGTTAGAAGTCTTGTAGTTACTCCTTTGACTCACATATTTCTACTTTTCTCCTTCTTTCCTCTTTCCCCTTTCTTCCCTTTTCTTAATGTCATGCTGTAAATGCCCCAAACTCCATGGAGAAACCACCTATCGTATGTCTTGGTTAGGGTTTCTATTACTATGAAGAGACACCATGACCATGGCAACTCTTATTAAAGGGAAACGTTTAATGGGCTTGCTTACAGTTTCAGAGGTTTAGTCCATTATCATAATGGCAGGAAGCATGGCAGCATGCAGGCAGACATGGTGCTGGAGGAGGAGCTGAGAGTCCTATAACTTGACCCACAAGCAACAGGAAATCGTCTGTTTAACTGGGCATTGCTTGACAATAAATAAGACCTCAAAGCCTGCCTCCACAGTGACACACTTCCTACAACAAGACCACACCTACTCCAACAAGGCCATACTTTCTAATAGTGACACTCCCTTTGGGAGCCATTTTTTCAAACCACCACATCTTATATGCCAATATTTCCCAAATGTTTCATTGCATGAGTGTGATCTGGTGTTCTTGTTAGTCTGGGCCTCTCCTCACGCCACAGAAAGGAGAGGAAGGACTGGAGTGTCTGCTCCCCTAACTGTTCCAACATAACACTGCTGCCACCTCAGTCAGGAGACCTCACCCTGAGGCTTGAATAAGAATAGCCCCAGAGGCTCATATATTTGAATGCTTAGTCACCAGGAAGTAAGATTAAGAGTAGCAGATACTTATTTCAAAGGCCCATGCCAGGCCCTGTCTCTCTCTCTTTTTGCTGCCTGCATTTCAGGATATAGAAATGTCAGTTACGTCTCCAGCACCATGCCTGCCTGACTGCCTGCTGCCATGCTTCCTGTCATGATGATGACTGACAAACTTCTGAAACTGTAAGAAAGCCCCCAATTAAATGCTTTTTTAAATATGAGTTGCCTTGGTCATGGTGTCACTCCACAGCAACAGAACAGTAAGACAATTGGGGTACCTTACTCCCCTGTCCTCACAACTACAATAAGGATGGAGTGCAAGTCTATATAGTAAGTATCCTCAAGGATTCATAACATTATGGTGCCCATTTTCTGAAGTTCATATTTTGTCATCAGGATCTCATTCTGACCTCTGCTTCATCCCTTGGTCCTTGTGTTCTCCACTGAATAAATTCAGACAAGACATGCCTAGCAAAGTACAGAAGATAGACAGAATTCATTAAGTTAGGTTACTTTCAGGGATAATAATTCATTAAACTGGGGTATCCTCAGGGATGAGATTGGATGATGACCAAAGAGACCATCGTAAAAGTCACACTCTAGGGACATGAAAGTGGACAATGGCCAGAGAGACTATCATGTCAATCTGCATGCTGAGGTAGACTCTATACAATTTCTTAAAGTTTTATTGATGTGACAGCTTTCCTGAGGGACAGTATCCTTGTCCAGGTGATCAACAGTCCTTAAGGAAGGGACAGTAATATATCTTTGTTCTGCACTAGATTTCCATGTTACCACCCAGGGCCAGAGGTAAAACTCAGATCCTTTTGTTTTCCTATCCCAAAAACAATCTAAGAAAGAATTAAAGTGAGAAAAAATTAAAAATCTATAGAAAAGCAATGGATTTGTATGTGGAAAAACCCTTTCTTTAATGGTTTCTGCAAGGCTCTGCTACCTCCATCCTTCTCCATTTCATGTGTTATTTTAAACCTTCAGGAGGGACAACTATGATGCTTCTTCTCATACATTCCTCTTCATATGGAATTTAAAATTCCATAGTTTTACCTTCCTTAAAATAAAATGAGTGTGTTACCAGGGTTACAGCAAGTAGGGGGTCCAAAGCTGATTATGGGGGGGATTCATCCATAATGGCTTTCAAGTCTGCCAAATGCTAATGAGATGTTTAACAATTTCAATTATACTTAATTTATATGTATATGTCACTAATATGGAGAGGCTAGTATGTAGAGGTCACTTAGCCTCCATAGGAATGTGATTACAGAGAAAGTCCCTAGAAACATTTCACTTTTCAGAGACTTAAAGACTCATCAAAGATGCATCTATCAGAAACATCAGTGCTATGTAGCTCTCCAACTGTTCTCATCTCTGCATCCATCAAGATGTCCAGGAAACAAAAATAGTTTTGTAGGTATTTACTCATTCAATAAGCATATACTTACTGAAGTTTTCTCATTGCTAGGCCCAAGATAGGTGATAGGTTAGGAGTGTTATGGTAAAACCTATTTCTTCAATGACTGGCATGTCATTGGCTATCATGAAGCAAAGATTGATGTGGTGACTTACAGAATATCTTTGCCTCAAAATCATAGCAATTACATAAGTAAAAGAATAATCATAGTACAATAAGAGCAATGTGGCTGCTAACATTTCCTCATAAAAGGAGATTCCAACTCTCTCTCTGTCTTAGGGTCTCTACTGTTGTGAAGAGACACCAGGACCATGGCAACTCTTATAAAGGAAAAAATTTAATCAGGGCTTGATTACAGATTTGGAGAATTAGTCTGTTATCATCATGGCATGAAGCATGACAGCATGTGGGAAGACACAGTGCTATAGAGGTAACTGAAAATTCTGCATCCAGATCAGCAGGCAGCAGGAAGAGAGTGAGACACTAGGTCTGGCTTGAACTTCTGAAACCTCAAAACCCACCCCCAGTGACACACTTCCTCCAACAAGGTCACACCTACTCCAACAAGACCACACATCCTAATAGTGGTGATCAAATATTCAAATCTATGAGCCTATAGGGCCATTCATATTCAACCACACATCCTAATAGTGGTGATCAAATATTCAAATCTATGAGCCTATATTCCCATTCATATTCCCCCCCCCTCGTCTGCCACTGATATCTTTTAGCTGCACATGATTTGGGGAGGTATCAGTTTGCAAAGGATGTAGAAGATGGACTCTGGGTGGAGCTCTGATGGAGCTTTCTGGAATCTTCACCTGTGCTGGGGGTCCAATTCCATGTTGTTCCTGCTTTTGAGTCACCCATGTTCCTCTAAGTAACCCCTCATTAATGTTGCTATAAATGACCCCCAAAATTCATTAGTTCACCTTGCATTCTGAACTTGGATGGGACCATTTCCAAGGTGTCTGATGTGGGGTGAATAGATATTTCTTTACATCTCTCCCTGAATAGTCATACAGTAAGGTGTAAAGAGAAACAGCGAAATTATCAAGGGTCCTGAAACCATGGAACTTATAGTCTAGGGAAGTTGGTTCTTCCAATGCTCCTATTTACTAAGTTGCCACGAAGGAAAATGAAGACTAAGAGTAGGTAACAAGCAACTTAAATCAAGCATGGAGGTCAAGTTGGCTTTGCTTGGGGATAGCTCGTAATATTTGAAAAGATGCAGAAGGTGGGTACATTCAATGCATGGGTAAGAGTCAGTGAACTGCCATTAACTGGGGCTATTTAATTCCCTTGCTGGACCTCAAATTCCTCCTTCCTGAAATGTCATCTAAATTGTAGGTCTAGCCTTTTTTTTATTTTCAATAGCATGCCAGATGTCTACCTGGAGGTAGCCATGCTAGCCTAGTTTCCAAATCTGTGTTCTTCTTCTCTCTGTCAAACTGCCTTATGAAGTCAACCGGTGGGATAACTGTTTTCCAATCACAGAAATGGCTATGGGTTGAGTTGTATTCCTTCCACCTCCCTTCAAAAAGACATGTGAAAGTCCTTAAACCTGAATACTTGTAAATACAACCTTATTTGGAAATGTGGATTTGTAAGTGAGTCAATACAAATTCATTGGGGTGGACCTTAATCCAATATGAATAGGAACCATATTAAAAGAGGAAAATTGTATTCAAGGCAAATGCTATATGAAAACACTGACACACGAACACATATGAACAATGATGGTCACTTGAGTATACAAGCAGAGACTGAAATGCTTCTGGGGTACCAGAAGCTGACAGAGAAGGATCCTTTCCTAGGGACTTCAGGGAATCGATGATTCTGTGAACACATTGGCCCCCACCTTCTAGTCTTCAGAACTGTGATGCAAATTTCCATTGCTTTCAACCATCTACATAATTGTGCTTTGTTATGACAGCCACAGGAAACAGGTATGGTGAGGGAATTACTCATCAAGCTGTCATTAGAAATCTGGACTGAGTGGGCTGGGAGGATGGTCACAGATTATCTCCTGCCCTGGGACAAAAATGTGATTTCCTGTTCAGACTACTGACGTGAGTCAAATGGTGCATACAGGACAAGGGTAGTAGCTGAAGGACAATCAGTAGGTCTCTATAGCAGTCATGGGGTCATGAGATACTTATGATTAATAATAGAGGGATTGTAGTGATTTATACAGCAGAAGATAACAATGCATCCAGTTTCTGACTTGAGGATGTGGAGATAGCAAAGATATGGGAAATGTAATGGTTACTTTTGGTTATCAACTTGACAGAATTTTCAATCACTGGGCATGGATAGAAGAGATTTTCTGGGTTGGGTTAATTAGGTGGGAAAGCCATCCTAATGTGGCCAGTACTATTCCAAAGGCTAAGATCTCAGACTGAATAAAGTGTTGAAAGGGAGCAGAGCCCCAGTATTCACTGTGCTCTGCTTTCTGACTGAATGCAATGTGACCAACGGTGCCTTGCTTCTGCCAGGACCAACTGTACTCTCTTAACTTTAAGTCAACCCTTTTGCTTCCTGAACTTACTTTTCTCAGGTATTTGGTCCCAGCAACCAAAACATTAATTAAAACAGGGGCCAAGTGGGTTTTGCTGTCTAGTTTCACCAAATGAGTTAATTTTAATTAAAAAATGTGCTTTTTTCTCTCTTCTCATGGCTACTTTTAAAAATGAAACGGTTTCTTACTAAAGTATTACTCATTGACAGTGATGAATAGAGAATAGCTCCGAGACTAGCTGCTGTTTCTCTCTGAAATCCCCACTCCATCCTTGCATCTCTAAAGAGACGACTCAAGATGGCTGGGAGTTAGAATTCTAAGATGTTTCTAGTGCTCAGTAGCTTGGTATGTCCTTTGTCAGCTTCAGGTGGTCTGACTAAATCAGATGAGTCCTTTGAAGAGGGTCTGGATGTCAGAGTTAGAAGTCACGTTTTTTTTTCTGCTGCTGATTTTGCTTAAACAAGCCACCATTTTTCTAGATGCATGGAGAATGATCTTGGAAGACACCCCTAAGGGCCAGATGAGACCCTTAGTCCCAGGCAATGCCTCCACTGCAATGGTGTGTGACCTTGAGCTAAGGACGGAGACAAGGTCTCCAACATTGGAGAACAGTGAGCAAATAAACAATGGTCTAAGCCCCTGGAAACAGTGAGCAAATAAG